AAGCACGTCGTTACGTCCACTCGTCTCAGAACAGATCATAGGCCTACTTTGCTAGGTCTTGTTTTCACCAACGAGGAACATATGATTGATGTATTGATTGTAGAACGCTCTTTGGATCGCAGTGATCATGCAGTAATCTGTTCCGACTTCATCGGCTACGCGGAATATCGCAACCAGTGCGCTGATTTGATGCGCACCATTACGCGGTGCAACCGCTTAGCCCAGCTCGTCAGTGCTACAATATGGTCGTTCCTTGTTGAACTCCACTTGGTAGTCGCTTGGCTTGAATTTCTCAACAAATTCGATCAATGTTTACGGATGCCTCAGAGACAAGGGTGTTCAATGGGCATAAAACCATTTCGTCTACAAAGAGCAGAACTAGAAAATGGATGATACATGATGATGAAGGCGATGATGATGAATGGGTGATACAGCTTGGCGAGAATTCCGATCATCACAAACGCCAGTTACGTGTGACATCTACGCAGACCGTTGTAAACTCTGCACTCAACTGCTCAGAGATAACAAAGTCGCAGATCGGTAACATATGGCGAAAACTTTCAGCGCTAACCACAAACTGTTTTACAAGTATGGCAATGGACGTTGGAAGGTGAGGCAGAGAATTCCTCTTCTCCAGAAGACTGATGGTCCAACTAGAACTGCCATAGAAGCAGCAAACGCGTTGTGGATGCAATTTGTTCCCACATTTTAGTGTGTCTTACCATCAGCCCATCTTCCAACTTCGGTTTTCTCACCACCAAGACTCACTCACATGTCTTTTACTACCAAAGCTGTTTTGCGGAAGCTGATGTTTCTGCGCAACCACAGCTCCCTGGGCGCCGGCACCATTCGTCCAGAGGCACTGGGAGCAACAGCAAGACAACTGGAAAAACCTTTGGCACAGTTCTTCCAGCGCTGTTTCGTCTAGAATCAGATTCCTGTGATGAGAGAACTTGTAATACTAACTCCGATTCAAAAAGGCGGAAGCTGCACTGAACCCTTAAAATACCGCCCAGTGTCCCTTCTCCCTGTATTATCCAAGGTCATGGAAGCAGTCGTAGCCGATGGGTTTGAGTGTTATCTAGAAAATCGGAGCACTACTGCTCCCGAACAACACGGCTTTCGTGGGCAGCGACCATGCACGACGAATTCAGTAATTGCACGCAGTAGTTTGACCGAGTCAGCTGAGGCTGGAGAGGCCGTTGATGTGATCTACTTGGATTTATCGCAGACCTACGAGCGTTTAGATCATTGGGTTCTCCATTCCAAGCTTCAGTATTACGGGATCGGTGACCCTCTTTTGAGCTGGGTCGCCAGCTTTCTCACGCAACGACAATTAGTAGTGAGAGTCCGGAGTTCCGTATCTGAACCCATACCAGTCGAGCCTGGTGTGCCCCAGGGCTCAGTTCTAGGTTCATGGTTGGTTTTGGTATTCATCAATGACCTTGCACGGGATATCACTTCAAATTTCCTGCTCTTTATTGACGATATCAAGAGATAGCGCCGGATTCAGGCGGATGACGATCAGAATTCGCTTCAGTGTGACCTAGATAGGATAAATGATTGGTCAACGCGAAATCTGTTACAGTTCAACGTGGACCAATTCACAGTACTCTCCGTACGAGACCAGATTAACTATTTGTACAAGCCAGGAACGTAAGTACTGCAGCGTTCATTCGTCGAACACGATCTTTGCGTCCTTGTTAAGGATAACTTGGGTTGTTCCAAGCAATCCACAAAGGCCTCGAAGACTGAACACCAGCACGTCGGCTTGCTGCGACGGGCGTTCGGACAACTAGATACCACTGTTTTCAGAGATGCTGAATGCGAATGTCCGTCCTCATGTTGAATAAGCAATCCAAGCCTGGCAGCCATGGCTGAAGCACGACCTTACTGCACTGGACCAAACTCAACATCGGGCTTTTGCATACGTCATTGGTATGCGTCACCTTCCGTACGAGCACAGGCTGAAATGTTCGGGAGTATTCAGCGGGCGGTATCGCCAACTACGAGGCGACTTGATTATGACGTACCTGAGTGTACGCAATCCAACTCATGTGTATCGCTCTTTACTGCTACTCAGCAGCAGCACCAAATTTAGAGGCCACTCCTTTAAATTGGCAGAACAGTATAGCCGCCTGGCGTGCCGTAGAAACTACTTTTCCATTTGTGTATGTCAAGCATGAAATGCTTTCCCCGAATCTGTTGTTTCAGTACCCACGCTAGCCATATTAAAAAGTCGGTTGGATGACGCATTCCGCCACTTACATTTTGTTACTTGACGCTACTGTCCATCCTACTCCCGGGAAATATCTTGGAGTTACTTTTCTCGCCGACTGAAGCTATGGGATGGCTCGGGGTGCAGGGCTACTGCATGAAAAACGACAAGTCCATTATTTTAGCAAAACTACTATTTACTTTTACATTAACGTTTTTCGCTAACCCAGGAGATCACCCAACTGTGCTTGTAAAGCAACACTTCAGCCTTGTTCACTGTGCAGTAGTTAATTAGTTTGCATTTTTGAACGTGTGGAACCGCGAAATCATGTGTATACAAATTATAAGGCACGAAAACGAAGTAAGTGAACTATTGTGTGATTGCTATAATGTACATATTGCGCAAAAATATCTTTATTGGTCTCAATTCCTTGCCATGTGCAGCCCCCATGACAACAAATATTTGCCAACGTGGCCCTCAGGCTGTCCTGAATTCGGATCTTTTCCAGTTAAGCCCCGCCAAATAGTTAAGCCCCGCCACCCAAAAAAGATTATGAAAAGGGAGGATATGAAACTTGAACTTTTACTCTCTATTGAAAGGGTGAAATTGAGACAAGTCATAAATAATTTGCATGAAAAGGTCCATTTTTCGGTGTCTTTGCCTCCAAACGAACTCCCACAGGTAGCTGTCCGCTAAAGATCGGTGTGTGCCGCATTGGCGCTTATTCTGCATCTTGTAAATGTGCCAGAGAGATTCCATGGTTTGTGTGTGAGCTCCAGGCGTTGGATCCACAAAGTTTTCGGTATGCTTAACCGTATGATGAGTATAACTCATGCCAATCATCGATTCAATGCCTTGGTATGATGCCCACATATCGGAAATGATAATTGAGCCGGGAGCGATGCAGGCCTGGATTATGTCCAGCAGAGTGGCCGCAGTTCGATCTGGCACTGCATACAAGAACACTTCTTTAGTCTCCCGGCTAATCCCTCCGAAAATCCACTGCTGGGGAAGCACTCGCCCTGCATGGTTTTTACGACGTGATATTAGGGTTTCATCGATCTCGACATGTAGACCTGGGCCGCCGACAATCGTTGCAGTCTACAAAAGCTGCCAGGCGCAAATTTCACGCAGGAAATTCTTCCAGTCGACAGCGGTCGCGTGGCCAATAGATAACTGTCCTGAGCAGAATTTGATTGTTGTCAGATTTTTGGACCAGCAATAAATGAATAGGATTATTGTCCTGAAATCCATCCTAGACCGCTCCAGCCAAGTTCCCTTTCGAAGACCGATTTCTTGCCGACACTGTCGGGCATCACACCCCCACCTGTCAGAAACAGTTGAAAGTGTCATTTGGTGTCCTCGTCTGCATAAACGTTGATGATGAAACACTCCATGGCTTTGCATAAAACGTATTGCTGTTTCTTTGTCATGAACGACCGCCGAAAGCGTCAGAAAGTTCATGTCAGGTTTTACGTGCGAACGTAGAAACTTTTTGGACAAAAATGACCTTAGAAGCGGATAAGGAGCGTTTTTATGGGGCACGTTCACATGTATTACGCACACTGGAGCTGGCAAACAGTGGCGGGGCTCAACTTTTCACGCGTGCCCTTTTTGCACTATTGATGGGGCTTGACTTTTCAGGTGTACCCTTTTTGCCTTAGTGGCGGGGCTTAAGTTTTTGCGCGTGCTCTTTTTGCATTAGTGGCGGGGCTTAACTGGAAAAGAGCCCTGAATTCTACACCACTGCCTTAGGGGGTGGATTTTCCGCATTCCCGTTGTCACAGCGAATGAGGAATAAGATAAAATTAATAAATTGATGTACAAATGTTGGATGAAATCTTGGGTAACTGCTCGTGCATCTCATTTTTGACTTTTGTTTTGTCAACGAGTAGACCTGATGAGCAAGGGAAGATGGTTTTAAGAGAAAACAAAGAGAAGAACGTGCACTACAAATGTTGTACACGCAGAGACAACGGTACTTAGGAAAGGAGATCGTGCGGCTGATTATACAGGTCATCTAGATATTCAGTAATATGCGTCAAGATGCCCAGTAATGAAGAATTAACTAGAGAATTTCCAGACAAACCAATGCACATCGTAATGTGCTCTATCCATCGTAAGAACCAGGTATAATTCTTCTGAAACAATCTAATGAAGATGACAGAAGAGGAATGTAACCAATAGGTGAAAATGTACGAAGTCACATATACGCATATGACACCACGAATTACTGAACTCATCGTGAGCCTCGGAGGAGAAACGAAAATCATCTGACATCGCTGATGATTTGCGCGAGTCAAGCGGGGCTTTGGGACTAAAGGATACAAAGAAATTTGATGGCAAGTTGTGTTGTTGTGTGGTGTCGCATACAGTCAGAGGGAAGAGGAATGTATACAAAACTGTAACTTTCAACACAAACGAATGATTATCAACTGTCTGTGCGTTTTAAACAGTAACTGTGTGGGATCTGGATGGAAGCTATATTACCAGCTCTTCTAATCTTCACTGAAGCATCAAAAATACTTCAAATATTAGGCTTATAAACTCCAACACAACTTTCTTGTCTGCAGCTAATAAGCGTTTATTAAATAAGCGCGATGTAGTTCTCCATAAGTGGTTTACTCACTGTACATCGCATCTTCTGTTAACTATCCTTTCTAAGTCCACAGAGCTCAATCTTCTAAGTCATCGTCGTGCACACGCTGTAGTTTACGCACGCTAACTAAATTCGTTGACACTGTTACGCTATGTCTCACATCATTTTGTCCCATCCTAACAGTGGTGTGAACAGGATCCTCGATGCAGGCGTTTACAACTAACTGATTTGTTGGTTGCACCTATACAGCATTACATGAAGATTCCACTCATGCTCACCGGAATCCGAGGATACACTGCTGACAAGGCGGAGCAAGACATGCTCCAAAACTGCTTGGAGAAGGTGGATAAAGCACTGAGTGAGTTAAGACTAACGAGCCGTCGAGGGCTTTTATCCATCCATATGGCTGTTCACGCATCCTCCAGTTTTGACAACTATGACATTAGCAAATAATGGCCCACTAACAATGCACCACTTGTAATGATAAGCCTGCCAAGAACGAAATATTTCATAAAATTTTTACTACGACTAAATGAATTCAATAGTAACTGCGATGACAGTACAAGTGTTCTGAGAGAAAACATTGCTTGTGAACCTGGATTTAAGTTTCCAGGTGATAATAAGACGTATGAAGAGTGTACTCCGTGGTATTCAGTCAAAAATTCTTTGTTTCGTTGCAAATTGATGTCAGGATAACTCGGAAATGTGCTGAATTTCATTAAACTACATGGCGGCCACATATTCGTTTTATTCTGCTGACGGACTAAAGTAGACTGACAGTGCTGCGGCCATATACATGTTAGATTCAGCTCATTTGCACGCAACGGATAACCTTATACGAAATTTGCGTCGGACTCAGATGACACAGGGAAGTTTTGGCAGTTTAGAGAAATCGTAACTATACAATTAGTTATAAACATTACTTGCATTCTTTACAAATATTAGAATCGCTGGAAAACAAAATGCAATGGCTGAAAAGTTTCGAGCGCCTTCAAGAGATTCAAACACAGCTAGTTTGGCCCTCTGTTTCGGAATTGGAACCGAAAGTTTTCATACCGGACTGCTTGAAACCGAAGGTTGCCAAACAACCATGTGAGCGGTTGATTGCAACTCCCAGGAGGAACTTGCTACACGAAGGCCCGTTGACGTTAATTGGTAAGTGAACGAAGATTGAATGCAGCGATTCTGGTGGTGTTTATCTAAGCAAGTGTCAGTAGTATAATTAGTACTTACAATTAACGGTATTTATCCACTCATGGAAAATTCACACCATCCGGAATCGTTATATTAAGGACATCTGAAGCTTTGTGTATTGAATACCATTACACCTGCGCTTTAGAGAATCTCACACCTGACCAACTTATACCAATAAAATGCAAGTCAAAACGTCGTAGGCCAGCTACTTTCAAGAAAACTACAATATATTGCTACCGTGAAAACACTCCCGAGTTCTTAATACTCTGGACCTAATGGAGCCATTTGTATCACGACCTCGTTCTGCTGGACAACTTTGTGACAGTTTATGCTCAACATCCAGGTCAACCCTATATTCCGGTTCACTCTTTATGACTGACATAGGGTATACTATGGTGCGCTGAGGCTAGTGGTGGCTAGATCTTGACAGATGGTCAACCCACTGCTGCTACTGTTGTGCCATTATCTCATGTCCTGGACGCCTCCTCGTGGCGACCGCTGGGTGGGAGTTGGGTTACGCCCTACTCCATGCTAAGTTCCAGGACACCAATCCGCTTAAGTCGGTGAAATGACTTTGTGCTAGACCCGCTTCTTTTCTGGTCTACATTCAGTCGAAGGCTTTGACTGAGGACCCGAGTCGTTCACCTGTCAGCTGTGTGCACCCTGCCAGCATCTTAGTCTATCCTCTTCGGAGGTTAGGAAGTAGTCGATGGACCTCTTACCGTAAAACCTAGGCTTGGGAGAAAACAGCTCTACGGGTTATAAGCTCACAGCTCGATTGGCGTAGACCACGAGCGCCGCGCATTGTCCCCGACGGTGAGAGGTCGTCTGCGGGTGTTCGATGGTTTGCTACTGCCCGACTCAAGTCAAGCAGCCCCTGGTCAAATTGGTGCAAACCAACTCAAACCCACCTGCGTCTGGCTGTGGTCGCAGTTGTATCCTACTAGGGTCGCAAAACATATATAAATGGTTCCAGTACCTCAAAGACTGCGTGTGACGGCCGTCAAGCGGATCCCAATCTGTGTCTGCAATCACATTCCCGAGCTGGATCTGCTCCCCACTGCATTGTAGTTCAAATTATTGAGCCAGACTCCGGGTGGAGTCCCACAAGCAAACCTCCAAATCACCCACTGCCTTGTGGGTCAGGCTATTGAGCCAAAGGCTCCGGGTGGAGTCCCTCAATCAAACCTCCGAAGAATAACGACCACTTCGCGTGCGATTGCCCACCAATGCAATCGTATGCCTGCGCGCGAAACGCTCAGCATCGGGTGCTGGAACGTGCGCACACTACTGGACCGGAACTCGAGCGAGCGCCCGGAGCGACGCACTGCACTGGTCGCGATGGAGCTGGCGCGCTACAAGATCGATATTGCGGCGCTCATTGAAACTCGGCTCGCTGAGCAAGGTAAGTTACATGAAGCTGGTGCTGGCTACACATTCTACTGGGTGGGGAACGCCGCCTCAGCATCACGTGAACATGGGGTCGGATTTGCAATATCCGATCGCCTGAATGGCCAGCTGGTGGGTGAACCAACGGGCATCAGCGCGCGACTGATGACTGTTCGCCTACGACTCGGAAGAGGTAAGTTTGCTACTTTTATAAGCACATACGGTCCGACCATGTGTTATCCTGGTGACACGCGTGATCAATGCTGTACTCAGCTATTCTCCGTGATATTGTCTGTGCCGAGGAGCGATCGACTATTTTTGCTTGGTGATTTCTACGTGCACGTTAGGCGTGATGCATCGGTGTGGGCAGACGTCATCGCTCCGCATGGCATTGGTTCAGTAAATGTAAACGGTGACAGGTTGCTCTCACTGTGTGCCACTCACAGCTTGACGATCACGAACCCTCGGTTTGCACTGAGTGCGAGTGATATGGCAACTTGGACCCACCCACGGAGTGGTCACATTCACTTGCTCGACTATGTCATCGTACGTCAGCGTGATATAAGTGAACTGCGCATGGCATGTGTACTGCGTGGAGCTGAGTGTGGCCCTGGTCACAAATTGGTGCGGGTCAAATTGTACAAATATTTTCGTAAATCTATCCATTGCACCTCCGCAGTGAATCTCCGTAAATTTAACACTCTCCCTGGGTACTGTGGCGAAACATATTGAGCTAGAGAAGGCGATGGCTGTACCCCCGTGTGATGTGGAATGCATAGCCGCAGGGGGCGACCTGTGGCACCAGGTTTGCAACCAGGTGACAAATGCTGCCGAGGAGACCATTGGGCGCGCAAACTGTAAGCGACCTGATTGGTTTGATTACAGCAATTAAACGATTGGCGCATTGGTGTGGGAAAAGAATGTAGTGTTTGCTGCATATGTCGCAGACCTCAGTGACTTGGTGGAAAATAGTCAGTTTCGCAAACCTTCGACGGCAACTGACCCAAGAGCTCCGTCGTATCGAAAATGCATGGTGGACGAAGAATGCGTAGCAGATGGAATGCTACGTCGAACGCCGCCAACACAAGGAATTGGTTGACTCCATGAAGGCGGTGTTTGGACCGAGTTTAAAGCTGCTTAGGACGCTGATCGATGGTAATTCGGGCGCTAACTGCAGACAGGCTGCAGACGTTTTGCAGATCTGGCAAACACATAATGACTCTGTTAAACAACCGTTCGGATATTGACTGGCCTACTTGGAATGGACTCAAGCAGCACGATGTGAAGGCGAGTCTGGAGGACACGCCGACACTGCATGAGACGCAGAGCACTTGCTTAGCTACGGAAAGGCGAGTGTGCCGGTGCCGAAGGGATCTTGCCTAAAATATTAAAACACGGCGGACCTGCGTTGGTGACTGCGCTGCACCACTTGGTGCAACGCGTGTGGCTTGATGAGTAGGTGCGTCCTGATCTGAAGGATGCCCTTGTGTTCATACTGTACAAGGGTAAAGGAAGTAAGCAACGTTGTACGAATTATAGTGGCATCAACTTGCTGAGATGTGTAGGCAAGTTGATAACCCGAATCTTGCTCAACCGCCTCGTCAGTCAGGTTGTGGAACCTAACGTGGCGGAAGAGCAGTGTGGATTCCGTTCGGGTCGCAGCACTATAGATATGGTGTTTGCGGCTCGTCAGTTGCAGAAGTGCAGAGAACGACACCAGCCTTTGCACTCGCTGTTTATTGACTTCACCAAAGCATTTGGTACGGTGAAACACGAGACATGGTGGCTGGTGTTGGGTAAGTTTGGTTGTCCGAGTAATTTTGTAAATTTAATTGGAAGTCTGCAGGTGGGTATACGGGCGAGGTTAGACAGACCTCAGATGACTTTGCAGTTATCTCTGATGTGAAGAAACGCTGCGTCTTAACTCCTACCCTGATTAATATATGTCTTCATGCAATGATGTCTTGTGCTTTCGATGCCGCGTGCGCTTACGGTGTTCGTGTGGAGCACCGTATTGATATTGGATTGCTGAACATCCGTCGTTTCGGTGCGATAACCTTAGTCTGTGAGACAACCATCCGTATGTTGCTGTTTGCTGACGACTGTGCGTTGTTTGAACACTGCGCGGATGAGTTGCAGCACATGACTAGTGCTCTGGCTTCGATAGCGGCCAAATTCGGGCTCACCATCAACGCAAGCAAAACTGTCTGTCACTTACAGCCTTCACCAAAAGTGCAATCTACAATGTTGCCGCGAATCAGCATTGGTACTGAAGTATTGTAAACCAACTCCCGCTTCTGCTACCTTGGGAGTGTGGAGTCGACTGACCAGCAACTACACAGTGAGCAACCTATCCGCGTATTGAAGGCAGTGGCGGCATTCGGGAAGCTTGAGTACGGAGTGTGGAACAACCATCAGCTTACCGTTGGCACGAAGCTGATGGTTTAAAAATCCATGGTGCTATCCGTTCTTCTCTACGGCAGTGAAACGTGGACGATGTACTGTCGGGATGTGGGATATTTCGAGCAGTTACATCAACAGTGTCTGCGACGGATTCTGCGCAACGGTTGGTGCGACAGAGTTGCGCACACGGAAGTGTTGCGCCGAAGTGGAATGTAAACAGTGGACAGCACACTTTTGATGAGGCAACTAAATTGGCTGGGTCATGTGTAGCCTATGAATTCGACGCAAAATACCAAAGCAACTATTACCTGGTCAGCCATGTTGGGAAGTGGCATTTGGGGAATCCGAAGCTTCCTTCACAAGATGTGATCAAAGTGCGCCTCTCACCTTTCAACCTCGGTTGCAGGTCATGAGAATCGAAAGCGGTTGATCTACGCGCAAGGAGTCTTCTGATCACGAAGGGCGTTGCCGAGCTGCAGGAGAAATTGCTTTGGGCATATAGAGAAGAAGCTGCAAGTGCGGAAGCAACAAGCGCCGATGGGTTGTACTCCATCGACATCGAGCGCATGATGCGGTAGCACATGCGGTCGCGAGTGCCTGAGTCAGGCAGGCTTAGTGAGCCATGAGCGAGGCCACTCGGGACCACTACCGAAGCGACGACGGGTCCTGCAGAGAACGTAAGCGGAATCGTTGCAGCGTTTGTAGGTACGCTGCATTGGACCTACTAACCGCGTGCTTGCATGCTTAGTCTCTTTATTCCAGGTGATGAGTTTGCTATATTGTCTTAATGTATTTTTATCCCATATTAGCATCTACCTAAACTATCTTCTACAAACTTGCACACGTCGCTTAAGCTAATTGTAGTCAAATTCGATAACATTTTCGCGTTTGTTGCCTTTCCTTTAAATATAGTTTTATAAGTTCTGAAACTATAGCGGATATTTTTCCAACAAAGTTATTGCATATGCTCATTTAATGAAGAGTTGTCACCCTATCTGTATGCATTTATTTTTTATTTTATTTTATTTGAAATCGTCGTCTCAAGTGATTGGCTGTTGCTCGATATCCCCCTTTGGCTACATTTGATGGGCATGTTGACAAGGTGCCTACCGGTCTATTACGCACTTCCTCGTCCATACTGGCTCCATGAGAGAGTTGGTCGTGCTAGG